TGTGATGGCTTAGTTAAAGTCTCCAAAATGGAATCTCATGAGAAGACCGATTACTCAAATTTTTGTCTTAACTTGGGTCTGCGCGAAGTTCAAACATCTCTCTACTATTCCCTACAGTACCTGATCGTACTCTCTCCCCCAACGATGTCCCATAACGATATCCTAGATACGAAAAGGTATCTTGGCGTGTAATCTCCGCATTCGTTACAACGTTACGCTGATGCCGACTAATTACAAAAGGACAAGACTTGTAATTAGAGGGTGAATAGTGTGGGAGAGAGTTTCTGGCAAAGTGATGATTGATGATTACCTGGAACCATATTTTGATCTGAGATTCGTTGAGGCCAAGTTCATGTGCGAGTTCTTGCCGTCGCTTTTCAGTCAGGTATCTGGAATTATTTACATGAGCAGCGATTAAGAAAAGCAGGAGGAAAATCTCAGGTTTGAGTAGTCACCTGTTATCGAGGAATTGCTTCTTCAGCCGATCCAGCTGACCGGGGGTGAATGCGGTGCGAGGTCGCTTTTCTTCTTCGGCTACTTCACGCTTTCGTGGCTTCCGAGAACGTGGACCTAAAAAACTTATGATATAATATAACAAGTCCATTTTGCATTATAAATGATTTCTGGGCGAAAAATAAAAGCCTATGTTTTCATGATTTGCCAAACTATGTGCGTACACTTGTCTCAGCTTGCACAAGCAGTAGCTGGTAAGCTGGTAACTAACCGTCAGTAAGTTGCAAATTTGCTTCCTTGTGAATTTTTCTACTATAAAATTTGTCTTTCTCCCTGCCTTACCCAATCGTGCGGTAACGGTACTCGAGATAACAGGCTTTTGCGAGAAACAAGATTGTTTTTTGCAACAACTTTCTTTTTTGTTGCTATAATATTTCGGGATTTTGAATGTCGACATTAAATTCTTGAATCTATGTTTACTAGATTTTGGATTTCATAATTCTCTTGAAATTTAAAACGTTCCCAACCAGCTTACTGAAGCTCCAATATATTCCCGATTTATAAATCGGTAAAGAACTGCGCCAGATCTTACAATCTAAAACTACACTTATTGTTTACATTTTGGAAATGACGTAACCAGAGATCTTATTGAATTTATAACCTTTCGAAAGCAGTTTCGTCATCTCCACACTTAAGGCATAAGATTGAGCAGATAATGACTTCAGACACTCAACAAATGCACGTTGCACGAAATTTTCATAGAATTTACGAAAAATTTTCTGTTCTTTCTTAGTGACAGAGGGAAAGCCCATGCTTTACAAATGGCTCCTAAACTGTTGGCATATCAAGGCAATCGAATCCTTCGATTTAGAAAGCAAAGAATGTCGATGGATCGCTTCGACTTTGAATTCCAAGAAGCGAAAATTTTAGTTTTGTCTTTCTTAGCAT